AAAAATGATAGGGTTTATATCAGAAATGGAGCTAATCAGTAATCATATAAAATTATTTCCTTGCATGACAGTTCGACTAAAATCCCCCCCCCCCCCTTCATAATGGCGCATCTCTACCTTTATTAACACATACACTGTACACTTTCCGTTCTTGAATTGGTGTATATCATGTGCACATTTTGGCTAACCTTGACACAGTAAACGAATTGGAATGACAACCATCACATTAATGTGTTATGCGACACCAGGCAGTAGCATTTATTTACTTATTTATGTAGAAACACGATGGACAGGGACGTTATGACACGAATAATGATATACCGACCAAGATGAATAAGAAGTGGAAATAAAATGAATGGAGATTTACGACCTCCTTTTTTTACACCATGTGGGCTAATGAAGACGGACAACACCATGCAATGTGCAATGCGAGGACAGCGGCACGAGCGTACTATTTTTCGAATTCCAACTGTCGAGATGTAGCACATGGGACCCATGACAAAAGCCCAATTTACCAAAATACTGTGGCACAGGGACATCGAAGAATATTTTACAATATCTTGATCGACTCATTAATGGTTCAGCTTTGTATAAATACCAAAAGTCATGCCAAATTCGGCATTGTCGTGGTGAGAATTCTTAAAAACTAGCGACCAAAAAATAGATCTGAGCAATTCCCATGAAAATGGACATTGTATGTCTGGCCCTAAACCAAGTTCCCATATCCCATCCGAATGTCACGTCGGGGGAACTGGGTAGGGTCAGATTTGTCGGCCTTCACTGAATTCATGTTTAGAATCAGGATCAGTATTCTGAGAACACAATCATTAGCAGACCACAGAACAGTATTCTGAGAACACAATCATTAACAAACCACAGAACAGTATTCTGAGAACACGCTCATTAGAAGACCACAGAACAGTATTCTGAGAACACAATCATAAGCAGACCACAGAGCAATGTTATAAGAACACAATCATTAGCAGAGCACAGAACAGCGTTTTGAGAACACACTCATTAGCAGACGATAGTTAGACCTACTTATAACTATGTTGACATATAGGTTATCATATTTATAAAGAAACAGCTGTTAAAAATGAAATAGTAAAAATCATCAGCGTTACATTTTAATATATTCTTTAAATCGACCCATAATATGGTGTTATTCAAATTCAAAATAGAATGTTAACAAGAATTCGAAAAGTGGTCGCACTTGATTTCCCTAGTTTACGGAATGCCGTCGCTTCCGAATTGGACACGGTCATTTGTTGCAGTTGGTAATAATTCAGTGTACATGTCAAAATACGTAAAAATGAAGATGGGGTAAAAATGTCATACCTTATTTTTATAGTGTCAGTTTGTCCGAATTATTTCAGTATCCACTATTTCACGCGCAGCTATAAACGCTCCATACTTTACATGCGTGAGAGAGAAGATAGGCCCAGTTATTATATACTAAAAGTTTTATCCACGCGAACATTTCTGCTATAGTCCGTTTCAATATTTTTATTTTTCTCAAGCAGACGTTACAACCATACCGTGAAAAATAAACTATTCGGGGGAGGTAACTTGCTTCAGAGCCAGATTTTCACAAAGTAAACAGAATAGATGTGTCATTAAAATTTGAAATTGTTTGATATTGTGTTAACTTTAAAGGTGGTATTTATAGCAAGAATAATTGAATAA